TCATAAATTTTCTTGAATCTGAATGACTGAAAATATATATGTTAAAATTCAGAAGTTATCCACATCAAATATAGGGGAAAGGGATTAGGTTTTCGTCTTTAATCTTATATGTGCACAAACAGTAAGAAATGTAGGAAGTTTTTTCTAGGGAGAAGTAATGGTTTGTATCACATCATTCGTGTTTATAGGGTAAAGGCACGAGCTACATATTGATGGCGAAGATATTGAATACTCCGTGATTGTGTGATTAGTCAATAATAATTTATATTAGTAAACCCTTGATGTGTATTTCTATTTCAGTTAATATAGAATAATGCTATGATTGCATTGTTAAAACTTAAATATGCTTTTACCAAAAATAAGCAAACTTAAGTTGCTATATTTTAGCCATAAATTTTGGCATATGAATAATGTAGGGCGATATTTAGAGAAGCCATATATAAATATAAAATAACTTATTTCAAATTTTATAACTTATTAAATTCACAATACAAAATAATTATTAAATAAATATTTTTTTAAAAAAAATTAAAAAATCAGAAATCTGAAGAAGCATAGCCGTTGGAATTTCCAAGGAAGCGTAGTCGTCGGAAAATTTCGACGAAGACATTCCTCAGAAATTTCCAAAGAATACGTATCCTTAGAATTTCCTCGGAATTGTGTGTCCATCGGAAATTGTTAGTATTCCCTTAGATCCTCTGACGAAATTCTGAGAAAATGATTTTCTCCGACAATATTTTTCCGACGATCTTTTTTGTCGGAATTTTATCGGAATAAGCTTATTCCGACGAAATTCTGAAGAAAAAAATCGTCGAATTCACTTGCTTTCTTGTAGTGAAAAAGTTATAAAATCAAAACAGTCTACGAAGTTTAACAAAACAAATATTAAAGTTAACTTGAAGTAAGCAAACGAAAAACTAATTGTATAAATCACTAAATAAATAAATAGAAATACAAATATAAGGTTATACAACCAAGTCATCTTGGCCTAGTGGTAAAGGGATTTCAGGTGGAGTTTACATCATGGGTTCGAATAGCATTGGCCACTTGTGGTCGCCTTAAGTAGCAAGAAAACCCGAATTTCTATTGGTCTCGTGGGATTAGTCTTTAGGTCTAGAAAACCTTTGGGATCTACAGTTATCCAGAAAAAATATAAGGATATATCCAATTAGAAAAAAACAAATTATATTTTCAATTCGTGATATTAGTACAAGATTGTAGAATATATTTACTGGAAAAGAAAAAAATTATGAAATGATGTTTTTTGTCAGAATGTTGGACTGAAAAAATATTCAAAATCCCCCTAATTTATATACTAAAACTTTATCTTTAATTACATGTTTGTATTTTAAAAATAGCAACTGTAAAACCAACTATTTTTAATAATAAAAGTAATAATTGTGATTATCTATTGAGTATATTTTGATTAAATGTTTACAAGGATTTATAATTCAGAATAATATTCTTAACTATAGCTAAAATAGTACATAATAATATTTTCATAGAATTTTTCACTGTATTTAACACATACAACATTAAAAGTTGTTTTATTTAAAGCAATGTGTATTTATATTAGATTTATTTATTATAATTGTAAAAATAGATTATATTCATAAGGAAATATATTATAAGACACTAGATAACATATAATAAAAACAGAAACATGATAAAAATAAAACATATCACAAATAAATATGTGATGTTGAGATCAATAATATATTCTCATAAGAAACTGATATGTAAGAAAAAAAAATTTTGGATAATAACAAAGGTTTAACAAATTCTTCGTTCATTTCACATTTGTACATCATTCCATACATATATTTTTTTTATAATAAAATTTTTGAATTTTACTCATTTCTAATTTAGTTTACTATTTATATTTTTATTACAAGTAATATATTGTAAGATATAATTAAATACAATGCTATTGTATAAACCCATACGTAACCACAAAATCTCTAGTACCTTTAAAATACTTACAAATGATTTATTGATCATCCCAAATTATTTTAAGCTCAAGTTAATAAAATATAAACTAGTTTTATAATGCATTCATATTTGATATAATGCTGTATATGTATAATATGACTTTATATAGGAGAATATAACTACAGCTCCTTATTCACCAGAATCTAGTGAAGTTGCTGGCAAAAATCGAACTCTAAAAGAGATGATGAATACAATGTCGAAAGAATCTGGGTTACCCAAAACATGTGGGGGAAGCTTTGCTTACTAATAATTATATCCTCAATAAAATTCCACACAAAATAACTGACAAAACTCCATATGAATTGTGGAAAGGTAATTTACTTTCGTATAAATATCTTAAAATATGGGAGTGCTTGGAAAAAATTGCGGTAGCGCCTCCAAAAAAGGTCACTATTAGACCTAAAACGGTGGATTACATCTTAATCGGATATGCACATGACATTATTGCCTATCGCTTTCTGGTATTGTGTTCAAGAAACTCTCTTTCAAGAATGATGCGTAGACAAGGCAAAGAAAATTGCAGTAAGCATTTGCTATAAAATTCTTAGTAAGCTTAAAATACCCAGTAGACATTTCCATTTTCAAAACATATCTTCTTAATTTTTCTTACTTTATTGTTTCCTTCTGGTATCCAACATAGATTTTGTTTGTTATTGTGTTCAGGAAAGCTAGAGGAGACCAAATGGTATTGCTTCCCAAGTGAGAAGAAAGTTCAAAGTGTGTCACCTTGATCCCCAGTGTTGGTTACGGTTCTGACAAGAAGACCCGTTTCCCCAATGGAGTCAAGAAATCCGTTGTTTACATTACAACACTGCGGATCTTGAGTTGGTCATGAAGCACAACAGGTTCATACTTTCCTCTACTCTAATACCATCTGAGAGATTGTTAAACTCAAATTCTCATGGTATCTTTTTGCTTTTGGCTTCTCAGGACTTGCTGTGGCGAGATTGCTCAACAAGGAAGAGGAAAGCTATTGTGGAGAGAGCTTCCCAGGTAGAGATTACCAACAGGCTTGCTTGGTAAGTGGTTGTGAGCGAATGTTGTCTCGTGTAATACGATGATCACTGGTTGACTGGACCGGGTTTGTTGATATCTGAAAGTTCAAAGAAATCTTGAGACACTTGATCTGAAACCTTTCTTGATTTCTTTCTTCACCCAACCGCGATAGAGGGATCTTGTGAATTTTAGTATGCAGGGAAGTAAGAGCAAAACACTGTGGGAAAGATTGAATGTATATTTTCTTAACCATCCTTACTTTTCTAACTAGTAAATCTACAAGAAGTTACTGATGCTCTTTACAAACTTCAAAACTAGTTAATATATGTTCAGAAAATATTATATGGGTCCTAAAGCCGTTAAATTGGTTTAGGTCTAACCGCTTAATCCCCTGTTGATGGAGCTTCCTTTGTCTCTGCAGCATCTCAACAAACTGACTCTGTTTAAATTGCATGAATCTGGAGACAATCTTCCTGCAAACAGGGACTGAAGAAGAGTTCCCCTTGAAGTTATTACCGAAAAGCTTTATTTTAAATTATGTTTGATGGTCTCTTAACATAGTCGAAAGTTTAATATTACCGACAGCTTTGGACAATGTACATGGGATGCTATAGCCTACTGCTGTAGACCTGTACTCCATTATCTTGCAAAACCAACTATGTTTAATAGTTAGTTAACTATGGTTTAAGTTTTAATAAACGATTTAACAAAAAACAAGGTTTAATTAATGAGAAAGAAAACACAGACGCGTTGTCGCTTTCCCTGCATCTACCTGGGTTGTCTTTGTTTCCTGAAGAACTTTTACGTCAACTTTCAATCTTTGTTGACTAACGAAGTTTCAGACAAGACATACGAGAGAGTGATCAGTTTGTTTTTCTCAGTATTTTTCTTTTGGTTCTCTTCATGTCTTCTTCTTCATCGTCTTGTGATTGGGTATACGACGTCTTCCCAAGCTTCAGAGGAGAAGATGTTCGTAAGTCATTCCTTAGCCATTTTCTCAAGGAATTGGATCGGAAACTGATCAGTGCGTTCAAAGACAAGAAGATCGAGACAAGTGAGTCACTTGATCCCATCCTTAAGCAAGCCATTAAAAAATCAAGGATTGCGATAGTCATCTTCTCCCAAAACTACGCTTCTTCTAGCTGGTGCTTAAACGAGTTGCTGGAGATAGTGAAGTGCCAGCAAGAGTTAAGTCAAATAGTTATACCTGTTTTCTATGATGTGGATCCTTGTCATGTCAGACACCAGACTAAAGAATTTGGAGAGGTCTTTAAGAAAACTTGCCTGAGAAAAACAGAGAACGAGATACAACTTTGGCGAAAAGCTTTGACCGATGTAGCAAATCTTGTGGGATACCATTCTCAGAACTTGTAAGATTTTATCTTTGGTTCATACCTGACAATGTCATTTCTTTGTTTTTGTATTGATATTTCTGTTATTGTCAGGGAAAGCGAAGCAACAATGATTGAATTAATCGCCAACGATGTTTTGGGTAAATTGAATTTAACTCCATCAAAGGATTTTGAGGACTTTGTTGGGATCGAAGATCATATGGAAAAGATGAGTCCGCTCTTGTGCTTGGAATCCAGGGAAGTGAAGATGATTGGAATATGGGGTCCTTCCGGAATCGGCAAGAGTGTTATTGCAAGAGCACTAGAATCTCGGCTCTCTCGTCACTTCCACGGTAAAGTTTTCATAGACATGCGTTTCATATCCAAGAGTAAGGAATGTTACCGCAAAGGTAACTCAGATGACATTAACATGAAGCTGCACTTGCAAGAAAACTTCCTTTCTAAGATATTAGATAAAGAAGGGATAAAAGTAGATCACTTAAATGCAGTGAGAGAGAGGCTAAAGCGCCAAAAAGTTCTTATTTTTATCGATGATTTGGATGATCAAGTGGTGTTAGATGCGTTGGCGGGTGGAGATGAATGGTTTGGTCCTGGGAGTAGGATAATTGCAATTACAAAAGATATGCATATTCTAAGGGCCCATGGGATTACATGTGTTTACACGGTCGAAAACCCAACTAAAGAAATAGCTTTGCAGATGTTATGTCGATCTGCTTTCAAACAAGATTCTCCACCTGAAGGTTTCATGGAGGTTGCGTCTGAAGTTGCAATGCGTGTGGGTGGTCTTCCTTTGGGGCTTAACATTATAGGTTCGGCCTTGCGGGAAAGGGACAAAACGCATTGGGTAAATATGGTACCAGCTCTTCGCAAAGGTCTAGACGGAAGAATTGAGGAAGCACTAAGCTTTAGCTACAATGCATTAGAAAGAAAAGAATATAAAGCATTGTTTCGTCACCTCGCGTGTCTTTTTAACGGAGATGAAGTCAGTTACATCAAGTTGATGCTTGCAGATAGCGAGTTGAATGTTGACTTGGGTCTTGAAGTTCTAGTTGATAAGTCGCTAATACGCGTGGTACCATCTTGGAACAATACGAACATCGTGGAGATGCACTGTTTAGTACAAGAAATGGGTAAAGAAATTGTTCGTGGACAGTCTGACAAGCCTGGAGAACGAGAATTCCTAATGGATTCAAAGGATGTTTGCAATGTTCTTAAAGATCGCACCGTAAGTTCTATAACTATCTGCCTATGAGGTTACATTTTTTTCCCTATCTTATAAGAGAATGATTCTTGTATACTTTCAGGGTACTGAAAAGCTTATAGGTATATCAATGGACTTAGATGAGATTGATAAGGTGAAGATACATGAGAAGGCCTTTAAAAGGATGAGTAATCTCCGGTTCCTAAAATTCTATAAAAGGTCATTGCAACCGAAGAAAGAAGTTAGATGGCAATCACCCAAAAAACTCAATGATTTTCCTGATGAACTCAAATTACTGAGCTGGCCAGGATATCCTATGGACTGCATGCCTTCTAATTTCTGTCCTGAATATCTGGTTGAACTCAGTATGCCTAACAGCAAGCTTAAAAAGCTATGGAAAGAAGTTGAGGTTAGTGTTCATTAATTATTAGAATGTGGTTGATTAGAATTATTCCATTACATTTACGTGGAACAAGTATGATATTATTACTTGTACGGTCTTTACTTTCAGTTGATGTGATTCTTTGTCTATTTTGGTGCAGGAGCTTACATACCTTAAGGATATGGATTTTTCAGGATCTAAAAGCCTGAAAAAAATTCCAGATTTTTCAAACGCAACCAATCTTGAGACATTGAATCTTCATGGTTGTTCAAGCTTGGTGGAGCTTCCCTCTTCTATTCAAAATCTCAATAAACTGACGGATTTGAACATGGCTGGATGCACAAATCTTGAGACACTTCCAAATGGAGTCAACATGAAATCTCTCGCTCGCCTCGTTCTCACTGGTTGCTCACAGTTGAAGGTTTTCCCTGATATTTCAAGTAAAATCGAAACCATCATTGCAAACAAGACAGCTTTTGAAATATTCCCTTCTAAATTGCGTCTTGAGTATCTGGTTGAACTTCGCATGGAGCACAGCATGAGTAAGAGGTTGTGGGAGGGAGTTCAGGTATGACATTACGTACTGAAACTTCTTAATTACTAGAAATTACAATGTATCAAAATATGTTCAAGGTTATATATCTATAAAAGACTAAAAAGCATATATATAAACGTTATAAACTCACCAACATATAAGCTACTACCTCCGTTCACAAAAACAAAATATTTTGGAAAAAAAGTGTCAAAGATATATTTTGTGCTTTCTATAAATTTTCTAGTATTTAATAATTAGAAATAGTAAATTTAAGAAACAAATTGATTTTATTATTATTATATTTTCTCTTCGTCTTTTTTTTTTTTTTTGTTTATTCAGCCTCTTACAAGCCTCACAAAGATAGTGTTGTCCGGATCTTAAAACCTGAGAGAAATCCCTAATCTTTCAATGGCACTAAGTCTAGAGACTAAAAAGCTTATATATAAACATTATAAACTCACCAACATATAGATGTTTTGGAAAAAAATCATAAATATTTTTTTTTGTTTTCTATAATTAAACTTTTTAGTATTTATAGTTATAAATAGTAAGTTTTAAGAAAAATAATTGAATTTGTTAAAATATTTCATGGTTTACTAACGACAAATTTATTTTGTGATTAACGACAAATTTATTTTGTGATTCGGATGAAGTATTTGTTAAGACTAGTCTATTACTATCTTTTCTATTGTCTTACTTCTCTTTTTTGTTGATTCATTTCAGCCTCTTACAAGCCTCAGAAAGATATCGTTGTCTGGATCTCAAAACTTGAAAGAAATCCCTGATCTTTCAATGGCAACAAGTCTAGAGACACTTGATCTCAATGGTTGCTCGAATTTGGTGGAGCTAACTCTTTCATCAATTCAGAATCTTAATAAACTGACAACCTTGGAAATGATTGGATGCTCAAGTCTAGAGACTCTTCCAACAGGCATCAACCTGAAATCTCTCTACCGCCTCAACCTCAGTGGATGCTCGCGGTTGAAGAGTTTCCCTGATATCTCAGATAACATCTCTACTCTCAGTCTAAACCAAACAGCCATAGAAGAGGTTCCTCGATGGATAGAAAATTTCTCCAAACTTGAAACCTTGGAAATGTGGGAATGCAAAAATCTAGAGACTCTTCCAACTGGCATCAACTTAAAATCACTATATCGTCTCAATCTCAGTAGATGCCTACGGCTGAAGAGTTTTCCAGATATCTCAAGCAATATCTCCGCTCTTTCTCTTAACCAAACAGCCATTGAAGAAGTTCCTCCATGGATCAATAACTTCTCTAGCCTTGAAGCCCTGGAAATGTGGGAATGCAAACAGCTAAAATGCATCTCACCAAGCATTTTCAAACTACAAAATCTTGACGAGATTTTCTTCTCAGACTGCGAGCAATTGGCTGAAGTTCGCTTGCTAGACTCTCCACTGGAGGAAGCAGAAGACACCAGTAATGCTTGCACTAAGTTGTCATTGATAAGTTTCATCAACTGCATCAATTTGAATCAAGAAAACTTCATTCAACGATCAGCTTCCAAGCAGCTGATCTTACCAGGCATTGAAGTGCCTCCTTGTTTTACTCACCGATCTTCTGGGAGAATCTTTAACATCCCTTTACATCATTCTTCTCTCTCTCAACAACCAGTCTTGGACTTCAAGGCTTGTGTCGTGGTTTCTGATGTCAGTGATGTTTCTGAAGGAACAGAAACCACCAACCATCATCTATGCTTTATAGACATTGAGGTACATTGCCGGTTTAAAGATAGCCACGGGAACTACTCTGGGTCAACAGAGTCAATAGATTTCTCCTTACCTCAGAAATATGATCATCTGATTATATTTGACTGTCCTTTCCGTCAAAACCAAGACAATGGTGAATCTAATTGCGAACAAGTTGAGATAGAGTTTAGTCTCGTTAGTACAGGACTCAGACTAATAGGATGCGGTTTAAAATGCTAGTGACTGCATGTACCATCTTCTTAATCTGAAATATTACTATTTTGGGTGGTCATGTCCGGACCTACTGGCAACTGTAACGTTTTTTTCATACATATTTGTGGTTAAAAATGCTTTACTATCAAAGTTTTAATTTATTCAGAAAAAGTGAAAAAGATATTGCAGGATATTAGTCTTAAGTAGGGGCGGGACGGATCCGGATATCCGGGAAATTTGAAGTATCCGGATTCGTCGGATCTGTGATATTAGTATCCCGATTCGGATTCGTGTCTTCTGGATATCCGGGTTTTAGATATTCATCCGTCTAGATATTGTAATATCTGCGGGTATCTGACTTCGGATTCGGACCCGTAAAAATAATTAAAAAATAAAAAAAAAATCTAAATTCTAAAAATAATACATAAACTAAATATTTATGCATAATTTATGAATATATATATATGACATATTATTATTAATATAAAAGTAGAATATTATTAAATTTATTTTATGTATAAATATTAATATATCAGATATAATTAATAATAAAATAAAAAAATTATTATATTTTTTTAAAATATGATCCGAATCCGGATATCCGAACCTTAAAATTAAGATATCCGGATTCGGATTCGGTTTGTACGGATTCGAGATTTTACTATCCGAATTCGGATTCGGTTTGCACGAATCCGAGATTTTACTATCCGGATTTGAATCTTTTTTGTTTTTTTGTTTTAATTGAAAACAACAATTACCGTTGCTTCTCACACATATAAATCTTCTTTTTGTTTGTTTTTAACTGAAAAAGATGGTTTGAACTCTTTGTTGAGATGCTTCTCACACATATAAATCTTCTTTTTGTTTGTTTTTAACTGAAAAAGATGGTTTGAACTCTTTGTTGAGAACCCAATCATTTTAATAATCCCTCCCAACCAGGCAGAACCAAGGAATCGAACCTGCATTGTTGAGGGGATGCACAACATAACTTTTCCACTTGATCTAACCAATTTTTGTATGTTTCTTTTAACAAAAGTTAGACTATAACAAAAAATTATGGATGCACAGGCCCCCATAGTATGTAACGTGGCTTCGCCACTGTTCCCAACGAAAATGAACCAGAGTGACAGAGTACCTACTAGATATTCCTTTATCACTAAGCCAACAATTCGTTGGTAAAAGATAGGATCATGTTTAAACTGGGGTTCTAAACCCGACGTGAAAGTGGATTAAGAGCCAGTTCTTCCTCGTGAACTTTCATTAATGCAATATGGCCTGTGAGCTGCCAACTTAACTCTTCAAAAGTTGATCTTGGTGTCTCTGGCAGCGATAACACAATGAGGACACGCACTTTCAAATTCAGCAATGTTGCATCAGTTGGTTGTTAGCTCCACGTAGACAAACTAGCTCTCTTTGTGAAGAAAATAATCAAACTTATTCTTTTCTTAGTGGTAAGTACTAAGAAGACATGACATGTTATTGTTAACTATAGACGGTTATATAGCTAAGTGCATGCATTAACACCCATTGAAAACAATAAAGAGAAAAAAAGTTGAAACATATACATATACAAGTTAGTGGGACAACCCAAAAGAAACCCAACCTGCTCCCAACCTGCTCATGAGTATTTTTCATCCTACGTACACACATTTGACCAGTGGGAATTGGGAAACAAGAGAGACCGGTGACATCTCCAGTCAAATTTTAAAGCTGATACACGTGGATAGAAGTAAAGTACTCTCTATGGCTATCGACCCTTGACCAAAAATTAAAAAAAAACTATCGCCCAAAATTCATATACGTCCTATACTTTAATTAAAACAAGATTTTTTTTAAGCGCGGGTCCTATTTTTTTTATTTTATCTACAGATGAATCGATAAATCTTTTGCTTTGATGATATAAAATATTATAGAATCAAGATCAAATTATTTTGCGGGTCTGAAATTTTTTTTTTTTATAATGTCTCAGACAATTTTTTTATATTTCTAAATAAGTTAACAATGGTTGTACCTAAAATGTGTACTTGAGAAATATTGTATATTTAACAATTAAATGCTCCAAGTTTTTTTTAGTTTTATGATTAATTCGTAAAATCATTTAATTACAAAATTTCCATCGCTCAGTCCGACCCATCCTGTCTGACCCACAACGGGTTGAGTCATTTTTTCTACTAAAAAAATTGACTCGTCTGACCCGCAAAAAAAAAAAATTTTGCAAGTTTTTTTTATAAAATTTAGAAGAGAATCAGCCGACTAATAAAACTCATTAGTATATAATTTTTAAGCCCAAAAACAAGACCATATTGCCATTAATAAAAAAATTGTTCATATTATTAAAGGTATAATTAGAAAACATAAAAAATTCATCAAACAAAATGTTTCTGTTTTAATGGTATTGATGATAAATAAATGTTTTGAGATATTAACAGATTTTAGAAAAAAATGGTAATGAATCCTCTAATTTGTTTTATATATTACTGAATTTAATATTTAAATAAAAATGTTATAGAGGTGAATTTTGAAAAAGCGCAATAACCACACTTCAAAAATTTAAATATTTAGTTTTTAAAAAAATTCTAAAACATTTATCAGTTAAAAATCGAATGAGTTGGAGACAATTGGATTAGTTATTTAATTGAAGCATAAGTTGGCATGACGCCTTAATAATATGTACTGGTTTTCAGACCGAAAAGTCAAAAGCCTATGAACCAACTCCTTTCTTGGTTTAAAACAAACGCGTAAGAAAACTATATTGAAAGCAAATATTCAACGGATACAAAATTAAAGAAACCAGAAAACTTAACAACTAAAAATATGGGATAAAATACTAATATGTTTGATAAACTAGAACAAAAGAGAATATGTTTGACTTTCTCGACTATGAGAGGGGTGTCATTTTACTATAAAAGCAATCATTATCTCTTCATTCGAACATATCATTTTTCAATCAAAATCAGAAAGAGAGAAAATGGAAAGTGTTGCCGACGCATTCAAGGGACTGGCTGCCACCGTGAATTCACGGAACCCGCAGGTGACTGTAAAGCAGTTCTCTGACGCATGCTCTCTTTTCTCGGGGCTCTTTGGTATTCTTGATACGTCCTTCAAGTTTGCAAAGATGGACTACGTTAGCAAGGTATTCTTACTATTCTTTTTTTTTTTTTTGGTTGCCGAGAGCAGTTAAATGATTATTCAAAGTAACTCTGTATCTTCATTTGTATCACGTAATTGACTGCATCAAATTCTATCATATAACGGTGTCTGAGCTCATTTGTGTATTAGTTGGTTTAGTTTTCCTAGTCAGTTTTGGACAAAATATTTGGGATCTAGATAAAATAGTTAATTTTTAAATAGAGTTTTTAGAATGTCCATACTACTATGTCCCAAAAATATATATATTCAGTTAGAACTCTTTTTCAAATGAAATTATCTTTATGATTCAGTATTTTTGTTTTAATATTAATTTGTTTAATTTAATTAGCTTAGCTATTATTTGTGAATCGAATATACTTGGTTATTAGAGATCTAGATCAAGTTATTTTATTTCAAAACTGGAAAATAAAACCTGATGGTTAGTTTCGGATTCGACGGTCTACATCTAGAGATAAAATGGTTGTAGCAGTAGATGTTCTGAACAAACAAAATTTAGTTTGGAGTTATGTGTCAACAAATCAAGTTTTCCTTTTTTTCAATAAATCTATCGCAAAATGAAAAATGCTGTAGAGAGAACTTTATTTCCGAAATAAAAAAAATAGTGTAGATACAACAAAAAATTTACAGCAAATAAATTTACAATTTAAATTCAACAGTTAAAAACATAAAGTTACATTTCATTTCAATCACCCTAAACATTCTGAAGTTTGAGGATACTATGTTTGTTTTTATGTGCATAGGATACACAGTTATAAATCAGATCGCTGTAATTTTTTTTTTCTTTTTTGGTCGTAATAGATCGCTGTTCTTTTCTTTTCTTTTTTCAAAAAGATCGCTGTTCTTTTACTTTTTTCAAAAAAAAAAATCGTTGTTCTTTTAATCACCATGGATTTGATTTTTGATAAGAGATTTGGTACATTATCTTCTTTCGTTTCCTTTGGGCATATTTTGAGTCTTTTATAGTGATTAGAAGCTTCTGGATCCATAAGTTCATATATCTTTTTAGAATGAAACTCAGACAAGATCATGTAACTTCCAAAAGTTCATATATCTTTGTCCTTGACTAGCTTGAATTCTAAGAATTTTACATTATCCTTGCAATATCATACTTCTACTCCATCAGATTTTTTTTCCTCTTTCTGTCGAATAATTTATGGCATCTAGAGAAAATAGTTGATTTTAACTGAGTGTTTGTTTATATATCAAGCGTTGAGAAACAAAATTATTTTTCCAGCTCAATGATCTTGCCGCGGCATCGCGTTCAATATCCACATTGGAGGCAATGATTGACAAAGACATTGAGGCAGGCTGTGTAAAGAAATTTGGTAGCCATACACGGAACCTTTTGAAGGTAAAGCAGGGTCTTGAAATGATCAAGGTTCTGTGCGAAGAGTTATTGGCTACTGAGTAAGTCTTCTTATATAGGCTCTCTCGAAAAATAATACATACAAATAGATATATATATATATATAGCCATACAAGATACCCGATATTGAACTAATTGTATCAGTTTGACTGTGGCCTGTTGTAATACTATTGGGGGTTGAATCGGGTTTGAATATGATTCACAGAGGTGATGACTCTCTAAAGGATGCAGCAATTAAGGCTTACAATCAAGTGCTTTTTCCTCACCATCAGTATAATATTCAGAAAGCTTGTGCTACTGGGTTGAACTCTCTCCCCTCGAAGTCTTTGGTGCTACTCCTGATCGGTGAAACTGGTGAGTACATGATTTTTTTCCTAATTATTGGAATCACATCTCGGAAATCAAATGGGAAATGGTAGTTATACTATTATTGCAAATGGTTTTATAATGAAAGTTAATTCTAATTAACACGATGTTCGGTTGATTCAAAAATATAATTTATTAGACTAGACTAAAATATGTATTATCTCTAGAAGTCGCGCTAGGAATCTGACATCCAAAATAAACATGGAAGTCACTGTAATGAAACTGAGGACTTAAACATCATAACTCATAAGTATGTGTCATGAATCACTTCACTCAGTAATGTAGCATATGTAGTGGTTTTACTATATGTCTGTTAGTGTGTTACCATCCAGATAGAACCTAGTCACATATTAGTAAATGCATGCTGTTGACAAAAATACGAAATACCGCTAGTAATATCAAGGACAAAGATATATGAACTTTTGGAAGTTACATGATCTTGTCTGAGTTTCATTCTAAAAAGATATATGAACTTATGGATCGAGAAGCTTCTAATCACTATAAAAGACTTAACCAGTGGCGCTTAAGAGAATAAATCCAATACGGTGAATTCTGGTTCAAACCCCACTGACCACACGAATATGGGTTATTGCTTTCGACTCATTGAATATCCAAAAGAAAGTCTATCTGTGGGATGTACCACCACCCGGAGGTTAGGCATGTGTCTTTAATAGACTCATGGTTTAACCTTTTCTTTATAAAAAATATTGTATAGACAGGATATGAAACACTCTATAACGACTGTCGATTTTTCAAATTATTTTGAGATACAAATGATGAATTTGAGCATGATATTGTATATACTCCGATGTTATTTGGTACTTGACGCAGTCATATTTCATTACAGCGTTTACATGCTATCTATACTAGAACAAAAGTCTATTTGTTTCTTCTATATATTTTCGTAAGATGCAATTTCCTTAACGATTGTTTTACTCTTTATGAAATGTTTACAGAGGAAACGATTAATGTTCATCTGCAAAGCTATGTTACTGCATCGACACCAGTAATTTCATATCTGGACAAACTCTTCCTCTCCAAGAACCTTGGTATCGATTGGTGAAGACTCTGAAAACTCGCATTGGCCCTGGTTATTTTGCAAGTATTATCACTCTTTAAAGTCTCTATTTTATCAATCTATGCATGTAATGACATTACGGCCTCCAAAAGCTGGATCATTTCATGAACCGCTTTGGTTATGTCCGAGAAAAACTCAAATAAATCATCTTTAAAGCGTGATACAAAAGTATGTTTATGACGTCAGGGTATACTCTTGAACTGTGTTCTAAAATGAATTGCTAAGTGTATCTACAGATCCTCAAAAATTTGAAATCAACAGTATACCCTTAAGAACTCGTAAAATTTAACAATATTATTAAGATGGTAAGTACGCTCACTATTAAAAGGGATACTGAGTCATTATGATCTATACGTTAAAATTGTGAATCACAGCGCTCTTAGGATTCACCATTTGGTCCATGACTTTCCTATCAGTATTATGAAAAGGGAAGTACATTCCCATATTGAAGTCACCACAAAATAACATTCCTCCTGCGATTCACGTAGAGATCGGGTAGCGAAAAACATCAAACTTTGCTACCTAGCTGGTCTTTAGTCATTGCAATATATATCTTGCTCTCCTTCAAAGAAACATCTAAACATGGACGAGATAAATAATGTTGTCCAAATGGTAGTGTAATCATCTATCTAACAACAGTTGATATAATTAATGATTAAAAAAAATGTTCAGAAGAGGCTAAACAAGCCCAACAACCGGTTGTGAAACTTATGGAACAGCCGAATAGCCTCTGTCCAACCCGATGAGTGCATCCTACTGGTTACTTTTTAGCTAATCAATCTTTTGATTTCTAAACTCGTGTCATGCGAAGCCTCTCTGATTCCTTGACTAGTCCTTCTCTCTTTTTTTTGACAAATTAAAGGCTTTCTAAATACATCCCATTTTGAAGGTTGAAAGCCCTAGTCGTCGAGAGAGACTTTCTCTGAAGCTTTCGGATCTGCCCTCTCCGGTGTCCGGTTCTCATCGCCGGCATCATGAGAGGGTGGGTTTCTATGTTCTTAGTTCTTGTCGTCTGACTTTTTGGTTTGGTGAATCGTCAAGTACAAGTCGTAGATCTGTTGACAGGATGGTACGATGCAACTGCTGGGAAGCTGAAGAGGTGCTGAAGGTTTTCTCCACTCATAGGATTTCGTCTTTTGTGAGGCCCAGAAGTTTGAAGAGCCAGTTGTGGATAAGAAGTGCCTTGGACTGGGTCAGTGTTGGACCCAATTTCAGCACTAAGTTAAGCAGACCAAGGCCCATACACAAACATCATCAGTCCGACTCTTATCGAGCACGACGAGATCGAAATGATATCTTAAAGATCGCGGAGGCAGTTAGAAGAGAAGGAGACTATAAAAGAGGAGCTAGAGCAGAGCATAAAAGACACGAAAAACCCTAGAGCAAATCACTGCTCTCATCGACCTCATTCTTTAGCATATAGTTCGTCTATAACTTTGATCTTTCTTTGTTGTTCTCGATCTTGTTTACTACTTTGTACTAAATCTCATATTCAATAAAGTCCATTTTTATCAACCGAATTCCGATTGTATCAGTGTGTTCTAAGAGCATCGTTGCCCACATCATTTGTATTCCCCAGATAAAACTCTTGATCACTACAAAATACTTAGTGTAGATTTTAGGATCTACATTTTGGTGCTGACTTTGGGGAAGATAAACGAAAAATGTCCTTGATAAGAACCCGATTTAGGATCTTTAAGCACGATTATGGATCTCAACGCAACCAACGTCGAGAACCCTTGATTGAGATCGAATGATGTCAACCCGGCCTTAGGGGCCGAACCGACCCCCGCTGAACAAGCAAACGTTGGTGAAGCCACCGACACGATCTAAAGTCAACAAACTCCATCGTCAGGGATTTCGATTACCGATAAGAGTACGATCTCAGATCAAAACCCTCCCACTGACCAAATCGGATCTCAAGTTTGGAACCGTACGACAGAGAGAACAACGACCGAGGATCCGACTCGACCAGTGAGACCGAGATCTCCCACTCACTTAGCCTAAACTCATGAAGAAGTCGACGAGCTCAGGGGAATGGTTTTGACGCTTATTGATAAGTCTCGTGACCAAGAGATCTCCTATCAAACCATCACCAACCGTTTGGAACAAACCGAGAGGGATCTCTTTGAGTACCGTACAAACTCCAAGGAAAGAGTTCAACAACGTTCAGATCCATCCCTCCGAACACCACTCCCTACTAGCCGTGGAGCCTTTGCCTCTCCCGAGCTTGATAGCGCCCGATCAGGACGCCACGCAGGCGAAAATTTGCGAAAAAAATCTGGAGGGAACGACCTATCGGAGTCTGAATTACAACTTACAAGATAAGGTCAAAAACGAGATGCAAGGCCTCAGAACAACACAAAATCAAAATCAAAGCAGGCCCACCGGAGGACACGAAGAACCCAGAATCCAAATAACTCCCCATCAACACCGAGCTCGAGAAGATCGATTCTCCTTTGGGGGCGATGTGCGTCAGCGAACCGGATTCACAACACCTCTGGACCCCGTCTGAGGATACGACTCTTTTAGGTCATTTCATGAAAATCCACAGGGAGAAGATCAAAGATCTCCGAGTTAAGCAGGACCATTCAGAAGCTACGTCGAATGGAAGGACGCCAAACTCAAAAGGATACATGCCATCGTACATATGGCAACGAGTTTGGCCCCCAATATCGACCAAGTTATCGAAGAAACTCGTAGGACCCCATTCACAAATCAAATATCTATTGTAAGGCTGCACGGCGTCGATACGATTAAATTCCATGAATAGTCAGGCAACTCCGACCCGAAAGTGCACGTGCGAGCCTTCCGATTAGCTGTATCGAGGGAGCATCTCAATGATGAAGAAAGGGAGGCAGACTACTGACGCTTCTTCGCCGAAAACCTCACAGGGCCCGCCTTGGAATGGTTTGCGGGACTCGAAGGAAATTCGAACAACGATTTCACCCAACTCATGTCGGCGTTCTTGAAGCAATACTCAGTATTTATAGAAACACGAGCCACCAAAGCCGACCTGTGGAACCTCAAGCAAGCACCTTTCGAGCCATTGAGAGCCTAGATAAACAAATTCAAGGAACTAAAACCCAAAATATTAAGCCTAAATGAAGTAGTGCATTGCAGCTTTTAAGAACGGTGTCTGGTTCTCTTCCAAATTTAAAGAAGAAATGATGGTCCGAGCTCTACCTCACTAGACGACGCTTTGTACCGCGCATCCTACTTCACGACTTTCCAAGGGGAAATCGCCGCCTTAAAAGAACAATACAACGCGAACAGGAACGAAACGACCAAAAAGCCGAACACCCCAAAGGAACAAACTACCAAAGGACAGCACTCCTACGCAATAGACTCATCATCAAAAAATAAACAGTCGACGTATGACCCGAACAAGTATTGCGCCTTTCACAAACGAAAGGGACACTTGTCCAAGGAATGTCGCGCAGCACTCCGCAACAAGGAGGAAAACAAAGAGAACAGCGAGCACGCAGAAGAAGAAGAGGTTCCAACAACCCCGAAATCAAAGGAAAGACCAAACGAAGCAGGGAAGCTGAGTCTAAGTCGCCAGAATCTCCACTTCCAGCCCCAAAGAAAAGTATCGACATGATCCTATGGGGATCCGAACAGAAAAAGACACTGAATCAAGCCATGGAACGAATGAACATCGATATCATGGTGACAATACGAAAGTCGGAAGAACTCGATGAGACTCATTCCCTTCCCTTCAACCGAACAACCAGATACCACTACGGGCCGGAAAAGAGCAACAAATTCAACATGCTTCAACGATTGCTGGAAATCTGATACACAAGAAAAGGCACATCCCGCATCTGCTCAAACCCAACCTGTCCGGGGGGCAAAGACACCACCAACGGACTCTAACCAAGAAACGGTACTTCCCCGCACTTCGCCAGAAAAAGGGAAAAAGAATCGACTTCATTTATGGAGGATAAAAATTCTACAACTCAGTCAACTCCATCAAACCGCACCAACGAAGAGCAGAAAGTAGCATCGGCATACGGGAACCTCTATCAGGTCCCAATTATGAAATCACCTTTGACGAAAACAAAACATCCGACCTTGACAAACCGCACGACGACACACTCGTTATACGACACAATGTCAGAGGATGCAAACTATCCAGAATCATGATCGATGCTGGAAGTTCAGCGGATGTACTCTTTTATGACGCATTCAAAAGGATGGGATTCACCAAAATACTCCTCAAACAAGAGAGTACCCCACTAATCGGATTCACAAGAGAGACCACCTACTCCCTCAGATCCATCGAACTCGCCATAACCGCTGAGGACGTAAGAAAGATATTCGAATTTATCGTCATTGATCGACCTGCTCCATTTAACGGTATCCTCGAGAGAACATGTTTGTACAACATGAAAGCGATACTATCAACCTACCATTGATGACTGAAATTCCCTACACCAAAAAGAATTGAAACTATAAAGGGGAGCCAGAAGAACTCCAGAACCTGCTACCTCAAGAGCTTCAAAGTCATCGAGCCAAATCCATAAGACCGACCAAGAAGCTTCAAGAAAAATGGGAATCGTACTCACTTACACGAGAAAATCGAAAAACATGACCCTGATTACCGGGGAAACAATCAAACTACGTTTAGACTTGATCCCTCGACGAGGGTACGTAGGCAGCTCACGACCCGAGTTCAGTCACTCATCACAAACCAATTTCTCACTAGGAGATCAAACTTGGATCAGGAAGCAACTGATCCACGTCGATACACCTTTCCTTTTTCTTGTAAAATGCGAAGTTGTATACCAAGAACAATTTGATAATAAACACATTTAAATTCTCATTCTCATAATTTGATTAAACTGCATGAAGAGACCCTTATCAAGTCTTCGGAAACATTTAGGATCCCGCCAAAAAACACGGCGCTTCACGATAGTAAAATCAATTACTCAAACATAACTCATCGATACAGTATTTATTGAAGTTGATCAATGACCCAAAAATAAAAAGGGTCGCAAAGTCGCGTTAAAATAAAAATCGCACTAAGAAACTATTATTGATCCTTAAAGAAACAACAAAAGAAAACAAAAATAAAATAAATTAATCGTCAGCATCGAACTCGCCATTTTCGTAGCGATCCCCGTTACGCCCTTGCTCGCTACCAGATTCTTCTCCA